ATGCCGAGGACAATCGGTCAGAGAACGCAGGCAAGATCGCCTCGTCTCATGAACATCACGAGATCTGTACAAACACTAGCTCAGGGAAGCTTTATCCTACGGGAAACATCCCGGTGAACATTGTGCGAAAACGCAACAGTCTGACTGAGGATCAACGGCCTCAACACAGACTGGAGACTCGAAAAAACTCCCGTGGGAAGGATCCAATCGATCTATCGGACTATCGAGGACGATGCACGGGTTCGCCCGGTAAGGATCAACAGAAGGAGAGTAGTGCTGTCGCCGCGACGGAGAGAGTCGAAGCGACATTGACGATGACGAAGCTACCGGCAGCTGTCAAGACTGTCAACGTGTCCTTGGAAGACGGGCATCATGCTTTGTTATCTAGTCCGGATTCCGCTGGCGGGCAAGTCATGGTGAGTCACCCGGAAAAATGCAACGGCAATTCGGAGAGAGAGACGGATGACGAGCAGGTTGGATCGACGCCCACGTGCAGATCGTGCCCTGGTGAACAGCAGCAGCAGAAACAGCATCCGGAAATTCTCTCGGCAAAGGGAAAGGCTGCCGGGAATGACGGCGCTGAGGCTGTATCCTCGATCGAGAGATCGACGAGCGTCCCGAGCGTTGACCGCGCCGCCACCACGGTGCTCGTCATGGACGAACCAGAGCATAAAATCGCGCTTAGCGATCACGAGGACAATAACGACGATGATAATGACGGCGACAACAACATCCATCGACAGGACTGGCTGGAGGCAGGAGTCCATTACTCTTCCACGCAGATCACTCTACACGGAGACGACATCGTCGACGGGGATCGTATCAATGGTTACGATCATCGCGAGGAGGAAAGGATCACTGATCTTGATTTTATCAGGTAGACCGAAATCGTAACAAAAGAAAAATAATGCTTGGGACTATCTGCAATGGTGACGGACTTGAAATCTTTTAATTGGTAATAAATTGCTTTTTTTTAAAAGACCGCGCTCGTAATCTGAGACCCAAGGCTGCATCTTGTTCAGTTTTATGGATCTTTTACTATATATTAAGTTTACAATAACGAAAAGATTATATTATGTGGAAAAATGTTTCTTTTTTAATATGTTACGAGACTATATTTTAAAAACAAAAAAATAATGCTTTAATTTAAGAAATTAAATGCTTCGAATTTTTTTTAGATTTTTATTAAAACGTTTAACATTTATTTTTTTAAGCATTTGACAATCGTAACATTCTTATTCTGAATGTGCAATATGACTAATAATATATTGTTGAAATGCTATATTAATTTATCGAGTAAATGATCTTTATGATGCAACGTCACGATGCGCGACCGAATGTATCGGTGCTAACATATTAATTATCGAGGAGCGATAAATGCTAACGTATTAATTATCGAGGAGCGATAGCTGCAGAGAGAATCGTGTATTGTTACCGTACGCGTTGATCTGGATTCAATGATTTGGAGATACGAACGTGCCGCTTTCTCGCGTCGCGCGATAAATACCGTGTCGACGAACTATAAAAACTGACCGTTCGTTAGTGTAACTAACGTTAAAAAATGCACGCTCTTAAAATTTTTATTCTTAATCATTAAATTCTAAAAAACTACACTTGACACATTTTGACATTAGAAATAATATAGTACACACAAATATATATATATATAGCAAATATACATAATTTAATAAATTTTACAATAAAAAAGTGTAGGAAGGAGATATATATATATTATTTTCTATTTATTTTATATACATTACTTTTGAAAAATAAATGTAAATATAGAGACTATATAAATATTTTCCCGTTTTATAAAGAATTTATTAACAATTTAATTAATTAATTAATTACAGTTTTAAGTACTAAATTGATATATATATCTCGCTATCTATTATAACCTGTGTTTATCAAATCGATATTACTGCACTTGCATGATTGATGCATCGAATCAATCTCATCTCAATATGCGGAGAATAAAACGAAAGAGACAGACCGCAGGATCGAGTCAAATATCGATAAGAATGAGCGCACACTTGTGCGATTTATACGCGATGACGATAACCGCAGGGTAAAGTGAGTCATTCACAAAATCTTTCGTCTTCTTGACCGCAGGCGACCGACACTCTCAAGACAGATCGATTTTTATTCCATAAAATGATCGTGTAACGGTATCCCCGTTTCCCCTGCGGCCTCCATCATATTTCGCCTTTGGCAATTTACAGGAAAGCATATTCTACTCCTCTCTCTTCTCTCTTTCTCTCTCTCTCTCTTTCGCAGGTGTCTTTCCATATACAACTAAATTTATTTTCCTCGCGGATTTCTGTTTATATTTATTAATCTGTAAACTTGTCAGATGCCAGAAAACAGGATTAGTTTTATATTAAAATATCTTTCATGATACAATACATTAATTCATTCATATTAATGTATATTATACAAACTTGCGGATATATTTTAGTCATTATAAATATATATTTAATTATGAAAAAATTTTAGTTATTTATTTTATCATTGGAAATTTATTGCATTATCCTATTTATCGAAGGATAAGCAAATTTATGGCACTTCGATATAAAACTATGACTCCTACATTAATAGCATTACTGGTTCAAATATAAATCCGCCATTAAAAGTGAAACTTTGCGTTCTGTTCCAGCATACAAGAAAGGATCGCGATGTCTTCCTTGCAAGGATTACCCCCGTTACCTAGGAGCCTGAGCGGTTTCAACCTGAGCGGACGCGGCGAGAGCGGCGAGCCACCTCCACCGCCCACGAGATCGTCAAGTAAATCCCAAAGAGGCGGTAAACCGTCGTCATCGAGGCCATCGCCACCTGCCAGACAACTCACCACCCTGGATACCCAGCTGGCGGTGCTCAGGAGAGAAATGGTACTCTATCCGAGAATCGTTTGCGCGCTCTTTCTTTTTCGCGCTTTTAACGCCGAGGAACGCAGTCTCGTTATTTCACTTGGGAAACAACCCTCTCGATACTATTATATATTTCTCCGCGAAATATATAATAGCTGCTGTGCGCGGATTTATGTAGGACATCGACTTTTCGTATGATTCTTATGTACTCAGTGACGTATCTCTTTATAGTTTTTTACGTAATATTTATTTAATAATTTACTAATGGAAAAGATATATAAAAACAATAAATTTTTATTTTGTAATTTAACACGCTAAAAGAATAACAGGTTTTAAAAAAACATTGGTTTTTTTTTTAAACGAGACGATGTAAATCAAAATATTCAATGCTTTTCTTGCAGTATTTATCGAAGCGTTTTTAAATGAATGAAATATAAACACTGATCAACTCAAACAAATTTAACTAGATATTGAGAGAGAGAGAGAGAGAGAGAGAGAAAGAGAGAGAGACTTCTTAAATTTTTTTACAAATAATGTTATGGAGCTTGGTAAATAAGTGACTGAAGCAATTAGTATCGAACAAAAATGGGAAAGGATGGCTGAAATTCTTTGAGAACAACTGTAAAAATATTTGGACATTGCATTTTACGACGCGCAGCAGCATCATTCGAGATATAGCAACTAGTAAATTGTCGATGCTGTTCAAAGTGGTGTCTAAAATTGTGCATCCTCTAACACGGTAACCATTAACTCCAATAGAAACCATTAGTCATCCGTTGCGACGCGAAATGTATTTACGAGCATGCGGGAAAATTCCACACGTCCGCATGTAATAATACGCGTGATTTAAAAATAACTGTTGAGAGATTTCCGCTGTTATCGGTTGCTGAGGTGGAAACTGGCGTAGTTTATTCGAATCTCATTTTTTCGCGAAATAATTTGTGTCATTTGAATTCTTTAAACTTTACATTTTTTCCATAACAAGTTGTATATTTTTTTATTCCTTCACATATCTTTTTTTGTATCTTATTTAAATATTTTTTTTTATTTTTTATTTTTTTCTATTCTCTTTTGACTTTTTAATTTCTTCTGCAAGATATTTTTTTTTGTAATTGCCGACTTTGTTGTTTTAATGTAAGCTTCGCAATTCTCGCCACTCCTTATCCTTGATATTCCATTGCGTCGTTAATCCGAGCACGTTCCGTGAACCGTCGTCATTTTCTACTCAGTCGTTGTCCACCTCTACTACTCCTGCTTTTTTTTTTCTCTCAATTCTTCCGCGTTTGTTTGGGCGACCCGACCGACCCGTTACCTCGAGGCCGCGATCGCGTGTGAATAAATTGCGGAACGCGATGAGCGTGTATTTTATGCGTGGGATCATAGGTAAGCAGCGAGGGAAATCATATCATAGCACGGTAGAGAGAATACTTATATCATACTCTCGTCGTATATAAAGGTTCTACTTTTTTAGAGGATACATATTACATTGCAGATTTCTGTTTGCGCAGCAGACAGAATATGCAAATTTACTATTTTGGATTCTTTTATGTCGATATGTTTTTTACGTTAACGATATCATGCGCGATTCAGATTTTAAACGACTATTTATTTCGATTAAAATTGCTATATGATATCGTCTACGATTTTTATCTCTAGATATTTTGTTAACGTGTCCATAATGTTTCTCATTATTATCTCACGAGAGCAAGATCCTTCGAGTCCTACTGACCTGATGATCTTGCAAATTACAACTCATTTCGCACAAAAGTTTTGCCGCATCGCATCGATCACATTCGCTTAGCATTCGCGGTCAATCTTTGCGAAATTAACGGGACCTCGTGTAGGATTTCTCCGGAGAAAGAGAAGTGCTCGCGTGATAAGTGTTTTGTTGTCGTTCGCGCCAGCATCTCGTGGCTTGCGTACCTAAGTTAGGCTAATAATTTAATAGTCAGCCAGACAACACATGATGCGAACTGGCACAACCGCTCCCACGCTACGTTTCCTCGGGCATGACTCGATTCCTTCGGAGGAGACCCCCTTTTCCTCCCGGTCGCTCTCTTTCACCTTCGTTCTCTCCCCTGCTCCTCGTCGTAGTCCTTCTCCTCCTTCCAGTCTCGTTTTTCCTTCGTCGCACTCTGCCTCGAATATTCTTCTCTTTCTCATTTTACATCTCTCTTCCTATTCGTTCCCACGACCGCCGAGTCGCTTGGAAATACGTAAATCACGAGGTAACATTTACCTTGGTGACCGTATAGTAAAAGTGAATGCGCCTCGTGCCAGGTACATTGCAATTTCTAGATTGAGTTCTACGCGAAATTTCGCAACAATTCACAGATAGCTAATAATAAAAAAAAACTAATCACAAATGTGTGTAAAAAGAAAGAAAATGATAATTTTAATAATAAAATAAATATCTCTCTTTTTTTCCTTTTTGAATAAAATCATCTGTATGAGAAATGATATAACGAACTTGTATATATGTACTTTTAATCAAATATAGAAATTATTATACTTTCAATAAACTTTTCGATGCTATAAAAAATAAACCTCACGGTAATAATAGCTTTTTTATTGTCAAAAAAAAAAAACGATATCATTTTCAAAATATCTATCGAACTTGCTATAACAATTTCAATCTATTTTTGATCTTCCATTATCAATGTATTAATATCATAATAATTATTTTTGCTTTTACACAGTTCGGGCTGCGGCAACTCGACCTCTCTTTGTTATCACAACTGTGGTCCTTGAACGAGTCGATCCAAGAGTTTCGACAGTTGCTACAGGAGCAAGAGGATCGAGCGCCTTCGCCATCGCCCAGTAGCGAAGAGGGAGACGACACATCCGGAACGCTTCCGCCACCACCTCCAAGAAGGCCGGCACCCACGCTGCATCATCATCGACCGCCACGACCGCCCAGGCTACCCAGACCGTCGGCTAGCGACGAGTCGCCATCGAGCGAAGAGTACGGAGCCGTTTGACGTATCGTTACTGAGAGGAAAAAGTACTCAAGAAAGTCTCGATCCTCTCATCGCACTTAAAGCGGCGTGCCCTGGGGAATGCCAATATTTACGAGAAAAAATCTCGAAAAACTGATGTGAAAACATAAATTGCGAGGATGGACATTTCCTATCGGCGGTTAAGACTCGCATGTGATGTGACATTTAATTACGAACTACTAATTCCTAAAGGTACCTGTAACGTTACTTGTCGGGTTACTCAAGATTTCGATCTATTAGACAGTTCTCTCTCTTTAATTCTCGATTGGGATCGACTCAATCGTTTGACTGAGAGAAATTATACCCGGTAAATAAATCGCATTGTACACACGCAAACGGTGTTATTTATCTAGGGAAGGTGCCGCTTGAAGAAATTACGATCTATGATGCTGCTTTAGCATGAAGGAAGGACTTGTAATCAAAATGGAAGATTACGATAGTTTAGCCGTTATTGCGGAGATCGTTTTGCGTATGCAGGGTAATAATCGATTCGCAGGCTGAAGAAGAGTGTTGATTTGCCAATTCGCAGCAACCGACGACATTCCGTATATGTCGCACTCTCTAGATTAAACAAAAAGGATTCGATTGCCACGAGCGAAAGAGCTAATTTTAGCTCGGCACGCTGCTCTCCTCTCTACTTGTGATAGCGCTCGAAGGGGCCTTTGATTAATGATAATCACATCCATATTTGTGCAGATTAAGATTCAAGACTTCGCTCCGCCGCGAAGCGACCATAACAGATCCGAGCCCGTTGCACCACGATTCTTTGGTGTTATAGTCTGAAAAATAGCACGATTCATTGACGTCATTTAATTAGAAAATTTGCTAGTGAGTTTGAAATCACGGTGTTCTCTTCTCTTTCGTGTTTTTTATACTGTTGTGCTCATTGCAAAGTTCATTCTCGTTGTTGATATTTTCGAGTTACTTGCGCAACTAGATCTACCGTACACGTGAGAAGGAAGGAAAAATTTAATATCTTTGGAAAATATAACTAGCGGGATTTCTATAAATACGCGATTTCCCATTATAAGTATATCTTTTAGTATTTTTTTTCTCTGTGACGTCTCAATCCGTCGAATTTCCGTGCGTATGGTATTTTCGAAAAAATTAGGATTATCAATGTTTTGCAGTGCCCTTTCGCGTAGATTAGCACGAGCTGTGTGTAAAGTGATGTAAGACTATGCAGAATAAATTAAACTTAATTTAAATATACTCTGTCACATAATTACAATTTTTTCATGTATATATACCGTTATTCTGCCACAGATAATGATCGACAATACTGCGTCTCTACTTATATGCTACATATATGCAAATTGCATCTTGCTTTGAGATACAGTCAGCGACAGGGTGTGTACGGAAATAAATGGTGCAATAGCAGGTCAGCGAGGATGAAGAAATCGCTGCATGGAGTCTTTGCATTATACAAGGTGTGATGCAATATATAATCTCTACTACATTATTTATTTTAATCACATGTTATTCAATATCTTTTCCATGTATATATAGTTTTTAGTATTACGATATAAATCATGAGATATACAAAGTAAAAAAAGATTAGTATTTCAAGAATATTGTTGCATATGTAAAAAAGATACAATTTGTTACATTTGTTAAAAAAGATACAATTTTGTGTAACTAAGGAGAACATTTAATCATATTTTCAACATTATTCCCGCGATCATTACATATTATATAACTATAATAAAATTTTATGTTTAATCTTTCCTTTTAGAATTTCTAGATTCTCTTAAAATCGCAATTTTTGGGATTTTAACTCTGCATCATTTTTTTTATCTAATTATATTTTTCTGATATTTTGTAAATTTTTTTCGCCATTTAAATTTTCGGACTGAAAACTCT